GCCCGGCGTGAGTTTTAAGCCACCAAGTCCGGGACGCGAACCACGGTCGACTACGTGGGAGTCCAGCAACATAGCCATTACTCTAACTGCTGGTTCCCTCTTTTTTTAAAATTTGAAACATAAACTTTTCTCCCTTCCTGACCCCTCTGGAATTGGAAAATATTTTTGAGTATTCTTATTTTGTGGCAGAATGGTTATTTGCTTAAGTTCAGTAATACCTGTTGCCTTGCATCAGAAATTGGAAATACATGTTATTGCCAGGCCTTTGACTGGATGTCACATCTATGGAACTAAGGTGGGTCTCAAGAAAGACAACAGAAGCTCTTGGAAAGATGGCCTGGCACCATGAACAGTTCTGCCTGGCAGAGAGGATTAGAGAAGCCATAGGAAAGAATTCGTAGCATAAAATGACCTGGACTTTTCCAGCCCAGCCGTGTAATCAGTAGAGGTTGCAAAAGAGCAGCCACAACCAGAGGATTACCTTGAGGAAGACTTTGAAGGAAGAAAAAGAGACTAAACTTCACTAGCAGATGGGGTATCACAGAGTACTTGGGAGGCAGAACCGAGCTGGGAGGGTTCATGTGCGAACTGTGTGCTGGGTGTTTGCTTCTCAACAGTCTGAGTAGTTGACATGTAAATATGTTCTCAAAAATACTTAAAACCGTACTGTCACTGTTATAGAGCCACAAACAAAATCATAACAAATATTTTGAAAGTTATCTTTAAAATGCAGCTTTTTGGGGGGAAAATTTGAAGTTTATTTATTAACCCTCAAAAACTATGGAGTATAAGAGAACATTTTCTTTTGAGAAAATGTAAATAAATAAATTTATTAAAAATTAAGAAAAAAAAAAAGGTATAGCCAATCACGTGGGCCGCACTTGAGTCAGTCAGAGCAAGCCCACCCTTTGGGCTGTCTGTGCAGCCTGCCACCCACCTATAACCAATCCAGTTGTTTCTCTACCTCGTTCCTTCACTTGTTTTTTGTATGTCATTTTCCCTTTCCCGGAACTTGAACACTGAGTCGATCACTTGGCTTGCTGGAGTTGTCCAGAAGTCTGGGACTAACTGCCTGATTTAAATTGTTAAAATTTGCTCAATTAAAACTCTACACTATGGAGTAGGCTGGTTTATTTTTCTTTTAACATGCCTTCAAGAGAATGAGGCAGTCACTCCCGGTTGAAGAAGAGTGAACTAACCCGCCTGTATCCAAGACAAATGGCTGATTAGAAATAAGTGCCCAGACACTCTCTCTTTATTGAGCTGCTTTTGCAGGCTCATTGTATTAAAGTGTGCATTGGGCATGGCACGTTGGCACCAAGCCCTGGCTTTTCTTTCTGGTGCCTGGAGGTGTGCAGCTACCTGGCTGGGGTTGCCACCAGTCCATTAAATGATTGCTGTCTCTTAAATTCTCCAATCTGTCCCATGAGCGCTGAGAGGAGGTGAGGCTGGAAGAATTCTCTCTCTCCACCTGCTCGCGGCCCTGGACCACAGCATGTACCTCTGTGGCCTTTTCAGTTGGAAGCAGCACAATGGCAGACGTTGGCTGCTCAGGATAGGTGAATGCCGGGCTGGGCAGAGGGAAGCACGGCCTGGGCCTTTGGGAGTTCTGCCCAGTGGCCTGGCATCTTGGGACCCTGCCAGCCCTGCTGGATGGAGGAGGAAGACCAGTCAGGAAAGGGCCCTGGCAGCCGTGGGAAGGAAGGACATAAAAGCGGCTGCAGGAGGCTGTAGGAGGCTATAGGAGGCCGCAGAGGGCTGCAGGGGGGTGCAGGGGGCCGTACGAGGCTGTAGGGGCTGCACGGTGCTGCAGGAGGCTACAGGAGGCTGCAGGAGGAGGTAGGAGTTTGCAGGGAGCTGCAGGGGGCTGCAGGAAGCTGCAGGGGGCTGCGGGGGGCTGCAGGAGGCTACAGGAGGCTGCAGGAGGCTGTAGGCTCTGCAAGTCCAGAGGCGACTCCACCAGGTGCCACTTTGATAAGCCTCTGGGCAGATGTGGCAGTACTGCCCGGGGGCTGCCTCCTGGGTCACCCAAGTCCACGCTGGGTATTGGTGGGTCGCGTGTGGCTGGGATGTGGCCCAGATCCCCTAGAAGGACTCTCCCCAGAGGAGGGTGTAGGAGCTCTTCAAACATTTCTATGTTATTAAGGTAATTCTTCCCCTCAAATTTCTATCCTCTACCTTTACTTGTGTTTGGGGAAGCACGTGGGGCTGATGTTCCCAGCATGAGTTTGCGTTTCCCTGGTGTTTCCAGTCCTGATCTTGCTCCACCTGGCTGGACATCTGTCTCCACACTGGAAGAACGCTGGACACTGCTCAGTTCACAGTGTTCGGGAGAGCGCCATGAGCCGGAACGTTTCTAAATCCCATAAATCATAGACCACGCCATCCAGACAGAGGCCCTTCGAGTTGCTACACCCTGTGCCCTGCTCTCGGCAGGACTGAACTTAATCCAGTTTGCTCAGACCACCACCTTTTCAGCTGTTTCTCAAGTACCCCCAAGAAACATCTCTTAAGAATTCCTCCCTACATTTCTGGCTGCTGTTCAAGAAAGATCAAGTCACTCCCCTGGCGACTTGCTATGATGCAAGATAAGAATCAGCATCAGACGCCTCAGCCCCACAGGGCACTGAATGAGCACGGAGGCACCTGCCTCTCACCATCACAGCCCAGATGCAAGGAGGTCTCTTGGTTCGTGAGCCTGCTGGAGACGGTTTTGCATGTCGCATGTTATGCTGGGTTTGGGTCTCAGATTTTTTTGACTCACAGCCAGGCACTATGGACCCATCAGAAAGCATGTGAGCAGAATTAGAGGGAACTGTGGTGACAGTGCAGAGGGGAGGCTGGGGGGGCAGGATGTTGTTTAAGGCTGCTCCGCAGAGAGGGGCCTGGAAGGACGGTCCGCAGACCCTCCGCATGCCGCTTCCATGGTTGGGGATCATGGGCGGACACTTGTGGGCGTTTTCTCCTTAAAGGCCCTGCTAGAGAGACCCTTTCTGCAAGGCTGCCTTAAATGAGATACTTTAAAATAGACAATTTCTGGCATTTGTACTGGAGGTGGTATTAAAAACATGTCCTTTTTTTTTTTTTTTCCTTTTAAAGAAAAACAGCTTTGGAGATAGGTAGGTTGGGTATTCTTTCTTTTTTATTTTATTTTTTTCTTTTGTTTTATTTGTTTCTTCCATGAGAGAGAGAGAAATGGATAGAGACCGAGGTAGAAATGGAAGAGCAAGAGCACCCACACGGGGCCCTGATACGCAGCCACCCTCAGCCGTCAGCCGCTCTAGGATGCGGATGTACGTGATGGTGTTTGCAGCGAGGTCACCGTGTCCCTGCTGCACCCCGGCCGGCCGGGGCTGGGTATCCCCGAGGCCCAAGTGCTCCAGCCCTCAGAGCGCAGCTCTCCAGGTGCCTCTTCCGTCTTCCCTCTCACTTGCTCAGAGCTGGAGAGGGCGCCCTTCCCTGAAAGCCCGCCACAGAGTTTCCAACACTGGAATGGAAGAGTTGAACAGAACCCATGAATGTGGCTTGTCCAGACACCCCCCTTCTTCATTTCATTAGAAGACTAAAAATCAGGAGTTCTGGTTTCCCAGAAAATAGAAAACAAAGCACCTAAGTCCAAACCCCAAGGCTGAGGACCAAGGGCTCGTAGGGCAGAGCAGACCCAGGCACCCTCTGCCTTCATGTCTCAGGACTCGGTCTGGGGGCCTCCTTCCCTGGGGTCTCCACCTTGTGGCAGAGCTGGGACTTGGGATTCGTGCGCTCCTGATTTCGGCCCAGTTTTGTTTTTTAATTTTCTATGTTCTTTTTTGCTGTTGTTCTCTAACTCCATGCCTTGCCTGAGACCTGTAGGGCCGGGATACGAGTACCAACAGGCGTAACAAGACTTAAATGCCAATGTAAGGTGGTTTTAAAGACTGAGGGGCGAATTTTCACTCCAAGGTCTTACTCCCGCTAGCCGAGAACGGATGCTTGACCTTCCACCATTAGAGATTCATTCTTTTGTACGTTGAGTTTAGGTAGACGGTGAGTCTCCCGTGAAGATGCAAACACCTCTGGGAAGGCCACTGCCGTCTGACAGTCAATAAACTGGGCAGCCGTTTCTCTGAGAGCAGATACCCTGAAGAGAGAGACTTTGGGACTCACAGAATTAGGAGGGCAGGTCTGGGACTGACGTGAGAACGGGTCTGCCCTCTTGTGAATGCTCAGTAAATCCTACTCCTTGTCTGAGTCAGTGCGTAAGACAGAAGATGACCCAGACACACTGTGGGCGATTCCCTCTATGAGGCACAAGTACGCCTTTGGGATCCGGAGGAAAGACGGGGCTGCCCATACCCCTGAGAAATCAGCCTGGGCCTTTCCTCCTGTGTACCGAGCACAGAGGCGCGACTGGGCCAGCTCTGCAGCTCTCTAAAGGCTTCATTTGCTAAATCAACCTGTACAGCCACCTCTGTCTCTGACCGCAGAAGGAAGGACCCTGTATTATTATTCTGTGAGTGGATGACAGGGCGATGGCGCGTCACCTGGATTCCACCCAGACGCTGAGTGTTGTGCCCCTGGACTCCATCTTAAGGCTGGGCAGGACTCCCCACGAGCTGTCGGGACCCGAGTGCATTCTTGAGCCTTTCTGAGCCATCGTTTCCTGACCCATAAAATGGAGATAACAACGCGGCTAGTTTCTGGGCTTGGTATGAAGGCCAGTGGTGTCCTGCAGGGAACGTGCTGACACACACCGGGCCCACGGTGGGTACTGGCTGGCAGTCGCTATCCCGTGGACGCAGGTCTCCCTTGCCTCTCTGAGGCCGTGGGAGGGAAGAAGCGCAGCCGCAGGAGACAGCTTTTAGATTGGCTGGCAGTATTTCCACCCCAGGGGAGGGAGCCACAGCAGCTGGGAGGTGTAAGAAGTAGAAACCCTCCTCTCTAGCCGTGTGATTTGAAAATGCCACCTAACTTAGATTATGGAGATTTTCTTGTGGAATAACCTCAACAACCCCCAACACCGCTTGGCTTGGATTTTAGGCCGAGAGTTCTGCTGGAATGACACAACTGATTCTGTTTCCCTGTGGGGGCGTTGGCCACAGAGTGAGAGGAAGACCCCAGCTGGCTTCTCCGGCGACGTGGCTGATTGTTTTGGGAACCATCATCTGTGGCCATCAAAGTGTGTACTTTTGGGCAATCCATGAATTTGAACTGGCTCTGAGGCCAACAGTCGTTAACCACGGGTAGAGGTTCTACTTGCATGTCTCTAGATACATAAAATGAGTCAAAGAGAAGTGATCTTTAAAAATAATCTGCCGATTTGCATTATTCATGCATTACAATGACTCACCTAAAGCTGCTGGTGCTATTCGGACTTTGCGCCCAATGGCGGGCTGTGGGGACAGTCGCGGGTCCCCCGACGAGCTCTGCTCCGACAAGCATGGGGAACCAAGTGCTGGCTGTTTGTAAGGGCTGCTTGGTTACTTCTTTGAGGCTACCAGTGTCAAACGGACTTCAAACAAACAAGACACAATGCCTTGTGGTTTCCGGAAAGCCTCAACGCCCACCCAGGGCTAGAGGACACATCACCAGGCCTCTGGAACCCTCCCAGGAGCAGAGCTCACCTTCGATCGTGCTCCCGAGTGGGAGGGAGGAGACGATGTACTCTTCGGCCCTCGTCTGGCCACTGGGGCTGAATTTGGGTTTAAGGTGCACCTGGCCAGCCGTGGGTCATGATTCCAGTGCAGGTAGAAACTTAATTCACACCATGCAGAAAATAACAGAGAAGCCATGGTGGCTTGTCTCCAACAAATCTTTTCCTTTAAAAAATGGGGAGACAGACCCATGGAGGTGGAGTGACTTTCCCAGGGTCACCCAGCTATTGAATCGCAGAACTGGGACTGGGCTCAGCAGGCCGCAGCTCTCCCATGTGGATACATAGGGTCACCCACGACGGGGCGCTGGGAAGGAGACTCGCCTTACTTGAACACGAGGTCCCAGGAGCGGCGTTCGGTGTAGTCGCTTCATCTACATTCCTCTGATCCTTGCAGCTGCTTTGGCAGGCAGTGAGCACCTTCAGGCGCTGGGTGCCTGGGTGGAGAGACGAACGTGCCGGTCTGAAAGGCTACGAAGCTTGTGCTCCCAGGCTCTGTTCACTACCTCCTTCCGCACACTTTCTTCCTCCTTCGCTTTCCTCACACTCCGCAGTACCCTCGAGAGACCACATGGGAGGTTTCACATGGTAAGGTTGGTCAGTGTTGCCGGATAATGAGTAGGTCGCACCTGATGGGGAAGTGAATACAGAACATAGTTGGTTTTGTCTTATTTTATTTTGTCCAGTTTTGCTACAGGGGCATGTGAACTCACCAGGGACAGAGAGAGAGAGTGTAAGAAATCGCTCTTCAAGGGGGATGGCCATGGCGCAGTCTGCTCTCCTCTGCTCTCCTCTTGGGATGCTGGGTATGCATGTACACACACCTCGTGTGATTTTCAAGCTGCCAGGTCCAGGACTCCAACCATGCAGTTGGCCATGTGGGATCCAGCTGCTTTAACCTCCACACCACTTGCTGGCCCCAGAACACCCTTGTTTTTAACGGGAGCCTAACGGGACTCTTCTGGAAAGCAGACACGTGGTTTCCGAGGCGGTGTGGTTTTATTAGGCACCAGGTCTGAGCTGTGGTGGCCTGCTCCTAGCAACTTGGGCTCTTCTGGCACAGCCTTGTGGAAGAAAAGGGACCCGAGGTCCCCTCTCAGGCCTGACCATCCTTCGCAGCAGGCCTACTGAGCATAGAGACAGGTAATTGGTGCTAATTCTTTTTAAAAAAAGAAAAATTATTTATTTAATTCCACTTGTTGTTATTATTACTTTGAATAAAGAGCCCCAGGGCAAAGCACTCCATGTTTCAGCACCTCTCATGACCGTCCCCCAGGCGTCGAAAGACGGGGCAGAGAGACATTTAAAAGAGAGCTGTACCTGTTCGTGCGAGGGTCTGCCTTCTTGAGTGCAGGAGCCGGGACTTCGAGTGCGGTGTTTTTGCATTTGACACTGGGGCAGGAGAAGGAAGGAAGAGCATGCCTTGAGCCTTCCAGGTGTTCGGGCTTAGAACCACGGCTTGGTCAAGAGCTGGCAGGACCTGCGACAGCACTGCCGCTATTGGGGAACGACTACACGGAGATAAATGCATTCGTTCTTAAGGGCACATGTAAAATAGGTTCATTGTAGTATTGCTTAGAATGACAGGAGACTAGGAATAACTGGTAAGTCAGCCAATGGAGTCATTTTATAACGTATAGTATCTGAACAATGAGACAGTTTTTAAAAACATAATAATTTGTATCTGCATGTAGTAACCTGGACCGAAGTCTATAATACACTATGTAATGAAGAAAGTAAGTTTCCAAGTAATGCATATAATATTATTTCTGTACAATGTATAGCAATAGTACACACTTTGTACAACTTATGTCTTACATGTTTTTCATGAGCCAAAAATAGAGAGCACATAGAAAAATGTTAACATTACCTTAGAGGGGTAAATTTGTTTTTTTTTTTTTGTTTGTTTGGTTTTTTTTTGTTTTTTTGAGAGGTTTTTACTATCAGGCTCTTGCACTCACCAGAAAGACAGAGAGAGACAGAAAGTGAGAAATCAGCCCCCCAGGGTGATGACTATGCTGCAATCCCTTCTCCTCCATTCTCCTCTCGGGATCTTGGGCACGCACACACACGCACCCAGCATGAGTTTAAGCCATCGGGTCTGGGACTCGAACTGTGGTTTACTGCATGACAATCCAGTGACATAGCCTCTACGCCATCTGCTGGTCCCAGAGGGGTAAAGTTTTAAGTTAAAAAAAAAAAATCTGGCAATGTTTAAGCTAAAACAAAACACTGTGAAGAGAAGAAAAATAGCAGGGCAGTTGTCACAGCCTTCTTTAGCCATCAAAGCTATTCATGAATTTTCAGGTGGTGCTAGCGCCAAACGCCACAGCTCAGCCCTGCAGTGGGGCGAGCCACGATGTGTTATACCCCGAGAGGTATCAAGAGAGTTCAGGGTGCAAGACTCCTCATCCGTGAGCATTTCCGAGGCACACGGAAACTATGGAATCTTGATAAAGAATGTGTCTCCAGCCATACTCAAACGGGGGTTGCCACGCATCTGGGCCAGGATATCCCTTTCTCTTTAGGCCTACCCGATTGTAAGCCATCGATTATAGCTGTATTTAACCTCTGAGAACCAACCCATAAGACCTCCGGCAGCACCCGAGTCCGCTCCTCTCACTGTGTGGGAGTCAGTCATTCAGTTAACCATGGAAAGCTCACCCCAGCAGGGCAGGGGTACGCCTTCTCATCTCTTAGTCCAGAATGCTTCACACGTGATGGGCCCATAGTCGTTACTGCGTGAGAATTCATGGAAAACATGTGTAGAGTTACTATGCTGGGGAGACTTCATGGCTTCCGGCTGGCTTTGGGGGGGATTCAGGAGAGAATCTCCGTAAAAAGGTGAGCCTTGGGGCCAGCAGGTGGCGTGGTGGTTAAGGCAATGGTTTGAGTACACCACCTGGCAGTTTGAAACCGGGCCCATGTACATGCGTGCTCAAAATTCTAGAAGAAAGGAGGAAAAGAGATTTCAGTGTGGCCATCCCCCTGGGTGGTGATTTCTCACTTTCCCTCTCACGGTCTCGGTCTCCAGTGAGTGCATGTGCCGTGTGGCAAAAACTTAAAAAAAAAAAAAATACAATTTTAAAAAGAGGTGAGCCTTTATGAATAAAGATTTAAAAAGGTGGAGCCGAGTGGCGTGTACTACTCCACCAAATAGAAAAAGCAGATTCTCTCGTGACAGCATTTTAGAACATGGTAGTACCTTCCCCCTTCTCTGAAGAAGTCTGGGTTTTATCTTAGGCCACTAGGAAAATGCCTGGATGTCTTTTGGGTCCTTGTCACCCTGACAGGAAGGTAGATAACAACAGCATTCAACCTTTTCGCAGCATAAAATGCCAAGGATTAAGCTATTAGTGCAGAACGACTTTTAAAACATGCCTGCCCAATATCGGTAGTCTACATAAACCAAGGAGCTGCATATCCAGCACAGAGCCACAAAGCCTTGATTTAATCAGACATTATTAGAGCAAGGAAGGAATAACGCTCTAGTTTTAATGGCAGAAAAATACATAAGACAAAACGAAGCAAACCAACTCCGGTTGCTTCACAATCCCCAGCGGCACTCTTGCAAGTCATTTTTGGAATGTAGTCTAAGAAATCCTAGGCCTTGGGTTAGTAAGAGGACGGCGGAGGCTTTCATGCAGGAGGGCAGCCCAGGTGTGGAGCTGCCTAGAGGTTCAGCCGAGCTGCGTGGCCTCGGCCTGGCTCCCGTCTTCCCCGGAGGCATCAGAGCACTGCTAGGTGAGCTGCCACACGTGGTGATGGGCACCGGCCGTGGCCTAGTCCTGGAGGAGCCACGACTTTGTTGCAGTGTGCCGCGGCCCTGTGTGAGCCCTGGTCACCTGTGAAGTGCTCTGGGAGGCGAGGAAGAAGTGACGTGACACATGTCACATGTCTCCCCTTGTTGGGGTAGGCCAGAGCCTGGGTGTTCCCACGGAGCTTTACTGCAGGTCAGGGAAGCTGCTGCCAGTTGCTGGGGCAGTGGACTGGGGAGGCAGCAAAGGAAGTGTTAGCTGGCCCCTGGAGTTGAGCTACCGCGCAATCTTTATCTTCTGGGGCTCCAGCAGACTCAGAGATGAAAAGAGACTGGTATGGGGTCCCGGCATGGGCAGAACCCTCAAAGGCCTTGCACGGACCATTAGTGTCTGCAGCTCCCACAGCCTCTACGCCAAAGGCCAGGAGTCTTCCCGATGTCCCTAGGATATTATGGAAAAGCTACGCATGGATTTCAAATGATTTTTGCACCAAAATAAACTCAGACTTTAGTTCCATTTTTTTCCACAGACTTTCTGGAGTTCCCTCATAATTCACCTACCTGAACGTTTCCAGCGACAGGACACTCACCCCCTCTGCGGCATCTCACAGGCCAGGGCAGCTTTCCCAGCTATAGCCTCAGCTCAAAGTCTCCTTGCAGCCTGCGCACAGCAGTTCAACCATCAGCACAACCTCACCCCACGGCTCTCAAGGACCTCTCATTAGAGACAGGCTTTCTAGAGTGTGGGAGTTGTGTTATACGCCCGTTCTCGTATTAGGGCTTTGGAGTCCCTTCCTGTAACTTAGGGACTGCCATCATCTGCAGTTATTTTACCTTCAGATACCCTTGTCCAGTAGTCTTCAACCATAATTGTCCTTAAAAATATCCTGGTGCACAGACCTCACTAAACCCTACTACTGGGAGTGGAAGCAAAGCATTGGTATTGTAAAAAAATTACTTTTATTATTTATTTATTATTGTGGGGAGAGGTTTGTGCTATAGGATGTGTGTGCTCACCAGAAAGAGGGAGAGAGACAGAGAGACAGAAAGCGAGAAATTACCCTCTGGGGAGATGGCCACACCACAATCCCTTCTCCTTCATTCTCCTCCCAGAATCTTGGGCACACACGCACACGCACCCAGCATGAGTTTAAGCCACCAAGTCTGGAGCTCTAACCCCGGTCGACCACATGGGAGTCCGGTGATGTAGTCATTATGCCAACTGCTGGTCCCTTTTTTAAATTTATTTTTTGGAGAGTGGTTTTTGGCCACCCTGCAATCCCTTCTCCTTCATTCTCCTCCTGGGATTTTGGGCATGAATGCTCACATGGCTGGCATGAAATTCAGGGCACTGGGTCCAAGACTCAAACCAAGGTTGGTCACATGGGAGTCCAGTGCCTTATCCACTATGCCACCAGCTGGCCCCTATTATTACTATTTTCTAATTTACTATAGGGCACATTCACTCACGAGAGAGAGAGAGAGGAAGAGAGAGAAAGTGAGAAAGCAAGCCGCCAGGTCCTGGACTTGAACTGTGGTCCACCATCTAAGAGTCCGACGTCTTAACCACCACACCACCTGCTTGCCCCAGCATGGGTCTTTTAAAGCTCCCTAGACGACTCCTCAGTGTAGCAGGGTTTAGAAACTGTCTTGTTCACTGAACCCAGTTAACTCACCCATCAGGCATCCTCAGGTCAGGCACCCTAGATTGGAATCTACCACTTCAGCAATTCTCTGAGTTTTCACGTGTGCAGATGGTCATATAGTAACTACTTCAAAGAGCCGAGAGCACTGCAGGAGAGCACGGGGGAATGTGGAAGTCTGGAAGGTTGTGGCACATGAAAAGTGTTCTGTAGAGTTGAACTCCTGAGCCCAGGACAGGACCTGCCAGATGCAGGAAAAACCCACATGCTACTGCCGCCAGCAAGCCCTTGCTCTGAGCCCTCCACACTTTCCACTCCGACGCAGTGTCAGGTTGGAGTACAAAATTCATCTTCGGGACCCCTGTGCCTGGTAGGGCCTATGTTCCAGTCCACTCGTTTCGCTCACACCCAGAGGACTCTGTGTCCCCATTGTCATCCTGCATGTCTTCTTGCCTCCCAACTAAATCTCTTCAAAAGCTCTACAGAAGTTCTGGGCATTTCAAAGCATCAAAGGGGACGACGAGCCATCAGTTCAGCCCGGCCTCTCTGTCAGCCCACAGTGAGTGAGACGTGTCGGGCGCTAGCGAACTCTTTGCAGAATGTCTGAAACGGACGAACCTGGCTGTGCCAATACACTGATGCAGAAGAGGAGGAGAGACTGGATGCCATGAACAGTGGGGATGGGGAGAAAACAGCACCACACAGTGGTACCTCCCAAGTAGGGCCTACTGTGTGCTCTGCCCTCGCACGCATCATGAACTTTCACAACCGTAAGAGGTGGGTGTTGGGTAACTCCTTCCTGTATAACAAACTACCCTGAACAGGTCTTTTATTACTATTTTAAAATTCGCCACAGGGCATGTGTGCTCATGAGAGAGAGAGATGAGAGAGACAGAGAGAGACTGAGAAAATGAAAAGGCAAGCCATCATTCCAGGACTCTAACCGGAGCTGGCCATGTGGGAATCCAGTGCCTTAACCACCATGCCGCCTGCTGGCCCCTGTTTGTTAAAGCGACAGTTATTTTGCTTGTGAATTTGTGGTTGTGTGGTTGCACAGAAGGGGCCACACCCCTCTGCTCCGAGGTGGCTCAGCAGGAGCGTGCCAGCGTGTCCACCTTCAAGACACTTCATGCATGCTTTCCAGTCATCATGGAGCTGCCCTGGTGACCTGGAGTCCTGGTGTGCAGTCCCAGGCGGCCTCCGGGTCGGGTGGGTAGGAACAGCGAACTCTCACCAGGAAAACACAGCGCCCCATCTCAGCCTAGCCACTCCCTGTTCAGAGCGGAGCCGGGTCTGTGCTTGGGGAGAAGCCAAGCCGAGCCAAAGATTTCAACAGAGAACGGAGGAAACACACCCACTGAGGTTCTCATAGCAACATAACCACGCACAGGCAGCGGCCTATTCTGGTGGGAGCTGTCTCAGCTCCCCTCCTCCCTGGTTAGTCAGAATGGATGCACACGCGGGAGCAGGGTGGGGTGGGGGCAGGCGGGGAGCTGGTTCCCGTGCTCCCTCGGCTTGCTGAAGGCCCGTGGGCCATGTCCTGCTGGCTCTGTCTTGGGTCTCTTACCTGAAAAATGGGAGCACTGAACGTAGAGCGGTGAGGATCCGTTTTCGTTTTCATTTCCTGATTTTCATTGACCTTTGGTAAGGGATCAGATGTCTTTAAGAATCTTTGGTCTCTGAGAAGACGCTTAGGGAAAAGGGTATTTGAGAGGGTAAAAGCTGCTCTCCAGAGAAAGGGCAGGAAGTGGCCAGGCCTGGCCGACAAGGCTAGTTGGCTGGACTCTAATCCCTGTGATCTAGGCCCAGGGTCTGAGAAAGGAAGGGTGGAGGAGGTTAAGGTCATTCATTCTTTCACTTGAATTCACTCCTTCCCCAACACGTGCACACACACGAGCACACACACACACACACACACACACACGCACGCAGTCCCTTAACTCGAGCCTCTTGTCCTTTTTCTCTCCGCTCTCACTCTCATCCCACCCTCACATTCACCTAAACTGAGTGCAGTCTCTCCCCTCCGGAGGACTGGGTGGTGGAGGCATCTTGGGTCTGGCTCTTGCTTCAGTGGACTCTGGGGTGAGTTGAGGACAGCCGGACTCGTTCTTCCCGGCTGTCAAAGGTGATGATTGAAGCACAGAGCACTGGAGACCGACCTCCTCCAAGGAGCCCTCCTCCAAGGAGCACGGAGAAGGGTAGAGAGTGGGGGGCAAGGGACGCCCCCTCGGTCCCCATCCTGCGCTTGTGGGCTGACAGCATCACCGTGCAGCTGTCTTTTAACTCAGTCTGAGTGCCCTGTTGCCACAGGAAAGGCAGACTGGGGTCCCTCCCCTGTTCTAGCTCCCACTGCCTGACAGATGGCCAGTAAGACAGGGAAAAAGAAGATCTAAGTGAAGACGGGAAGGCATTGCATTGTATAAAAATTCACACCCCCTGCTGCCGCCCAAACTCCCTTTAAAAAGGATCAAGAGAACCCTAATGGGTACGTGACACCCTCCCTCTTTCCCATAAAAGAGATTTCAGAATCTGGTGGGGGGGAGGGGCGAGGAGGGCGCTGAGAAGCTTGTGGGCAGGGGGCTGCCAGGGAAGGAAGGCTGGGGTGGGGCGGGGTGGGCTGGGGAGCCCGGCCCTCTGGCTGCCATCTTCCCCCCACCTGAGCGGGGCTTGAACCCCGAGTGTCCTGGATGGGGAGAGGGAGAAAAGAATAGGTAACGACATCCCGCTCTGTCCCAGAGCTGAAGGAGTTAAGGACCCTCCTCCTCCAGCCACCCACCGCTAGTTCCCCAAACCCTAATTCTCCAGGAAGGATCCAGGAATCGGCAGAGCAGCAGGAGAGTTGGGGGTGGGTTTGGGCGGGGGCGAGCCAACCGTGGCCCGGGCTTGCCCAGAGCTTGCCCCCGGGGGGGG